TAAATTTCAACACACTTTAGATCTTTTTTTCCATTCCGTCTTCATGTGAGGAGACGCAAGAAGCAAAATATAATCAGAACGTGCCGCGTGCTCAAAAAAAAAAAAGAAATTAAACCATTTATCATTCTTCGGTGCCAAATTACTACAATAATGATGTTCAGATCCTTTTCTGCGGAGACCCACATCTACTGAAAGATATGCGCCGGCTTCCCACGGCTGCACGATGAAGCTTTTGTTGTTTTTTCTTGGCAAGCAACGGCAACAGTTGCTGCCTAATTTTACCAGTGACGTGTAACAGAAGTGAGCAGTGATAAGAGGAGATATTTTACACACAGGGTACGAGTCTGTGCCGGGATGGCGCGCCCGCCTCAGCTTCCTTTTTCTGCACCGTTGGCAACCAGAGCAGACATGGATTTTGACTCAGGTGCAAACTGAGCTGCTCTACAGACGCCCACACGAGCCTGTTATCTTACAAACACAATACACACGAGACCAGGCATCTGTCATAGCTGTGTGTGTGTGTGTGTGTGTGTGTGCGTGTTGGAGGTGGGAGGTGTAAAGAGATGCAGAGAACATGTGTGTCTGTGGTCACTAGTGGAGGAATTTTTAGCCTCCGTCGTTCGTTCTTTTCTATATATAAATATAATGTAAACTCTTAAGAGTAGAGTGTAGAGGACATAAATAAAAAAAAAAGAGAGAGGGGCGGCTGATTCCACTTTCGGCATCAAAGTGCAAAAGACGGTGCAGCCTCCCGTCTCGACAGCACTACCATTAGGGCCGCTGCAGCTGTTTCCACAGTAAATTATCAAACCTATTTGTATTGCCAGGATAAGAGCTGGGGGATAAAGAGCGGAAGTGTAAATGTAAAACAAGTCATGACAGGATCTGACAGGAGACAGAAATATCCTCTCTTCCCTCTGGTCTCTCCCTTTTACTCTCTCCCAACCATTTTAATCTCCCCTTAATGCCATCCCTCCCAGACTCAACTTTGATCACTGTCATTCTGCAAACTTACAGGATTGGAAGGATTCAGACAAATGCATTATTCATCCCACACACCAATTTGGGTTTCCTCCGCTGCCTGTAATGTACTTCTCTCATCTCCCTGTCACTTCGGTCTTTTGTTCACACGTCTCTGTCATTGGACGTCACTGATCGTAGGATATCTCTACGGAGCGTAAAAATACCCAAGGAAGACCGTGTCATGAAATCGTGAAAACATAATTACATAATGTCACTGATTAATTTGAAATAAAATGTTGCGTAAGTGTCCGGCCGGTAAACTGTAAAGTCGGAGTAACAAAGCGGCCGCCTGACAGGAAGTTGAGCCAACATGGGACATGTGAGCCACTGATCTCCACAAATTAATTAGGGCAATTAATACGTTCATTTCAACAGCTCCCAAAAAACACAATCTGAGTTTTAGAGTAAAACCACAGCAGACATACAAACACCATTCGTACGTTGTCACACCAGCTGTGTCCTTCCATAAAACCGCGGCACCAGTTCACGTCGACCATCGATACTCGTGTCTCAGAAACCAGTGGAAACCCAGGCCTTTGATTCTCTTCACGGTGCAGGGCCCTGACTCTGCCTGGAGCTACGTTAAAAACTTAAAGGTTTTTCGGCATAAGCTGCGTCTGAGTAATTACAACCAGAAATCAATACACAGGAGCCGCTGCAATAAAACTGAATTACGAAACACTTTAGAGAACGCAGGAGGACGAACGTGAACGTGTGACGGCGAGAAGAGGTAAAAAAAGAAACCCTGGACATTCTGCATCAAGATTTCTCATGTAGTGATGAACAAAAAGACACATGATGTCTGCCTTCACTTCTAAAAAAAAAAAAAAAACAATCACAAGGAACAGGACTACGTTACTGACTTGTAGTGAAATAAGAGCGTTTGAACACCGCAGCCAAATTGGTGGCTTCGGTAAACGTTCTGCCCCTAAAGTCCTCAGCAATTACCCAGGGTAAGTGATATGGCTTTTAGAATGGGTTTCACACCGACCTTTTTAATTGTGTTGGTTGTAATTTACTGTTTTAGTCATAGGGATATACTTTGAATGCGGG